AGATAGATAGATAGATAGATAGATAGATAGATAGATAGATAGATAGATAGATAGATAGAGGTGTGTTCCAGCTTCATCCAGTTTACAGTGACCTGGGCCCACTATGTGTTTTGTATCATCTATTTTTAGTCTGGCCATTCAAGTGTTTCATGTTTTCGACATGTTTATTGGTCTCATTAAGTCTCTGAAGCTCAGGAATTACACATTTCTTTAACAGATACACTAAAGATGATATAGATAGATTGTCTTAGGAAATATACTCAACTTTAAAACACTGAATAAATCTAATAAAACAATTGCCAATAAGGCAGCTGCTGTAAACATAACAGAATAGACTGAGTTTCTGAGTGGCCAGTGGGCTTCCTTAAAGACAGCTGGCCTGATTATTCAGACTTTAGTTGCTGTCATCATTTTTTATCATACAGAAGTTTTCCATCTCCACTCTCCTGAGCTGATATTCATAATTTCTGCTTGCTTAAGAAACAGAGATTCAAAGACAGTAGGACAGTGCTCAGAGTCAATTAGGACATAAACTGTGGAATTACTGCTCAGCCTAAGAATGTCTGACTCAAGGGTTGGTGCTGCCATGTTGCATGTCTTTGTCCACATAAGCATCCAGAATATGCCAGGCACAGGACATACTCTCTTAGATGATCACACTTAATTATAATAACAGGTAGTCCTTGTAGTGGCATGGGGGGGGGGGATAGAAAGAACATGACCATTCTTTCAAAATTACTCAGATTTTATTTCTGACCTTATCCCAGCTGGGTGAACTCATGCCAATTATTCTGCCTTATTTAATCTAGTTTGTTATCTCAAAAATAGCATCATGGTACCAAGTGTCCAGAATTATTGTAGACTTGATAGCATACGAGGATGTGTTTGGGTGGAAGTGTTTCATATGACAGTCTTTCCTGTGTGTATCCCCTGTGTGTGGCTCGTGTTATGCAGGATAAAGCTAATACACAGGAGAGGATCTGTTTGCCCAGGTTTATTCAATAGATTTCCCAGGGCAAGCCAATAGTTGTTTTTTACTGCTACAAGCCACATTTCTCTGGCTCACTTTTTTTTCTTTTACTTTTACTTTTTCTTTTTCTTTTTTTCTTTTAGTATTCACAGTCACTTAGGCCAAATCCCAAGAAATTAAAAATGCCAGACCCTCCTCCTCTGTGTGTAAACCACCAACATAAAGCCAGTTTCTTCATCTTATTGATATCAGGGGCTTTTCCCAATAAGATACAATGAAACAGAATGTTCTTCTTCAGAGCTCACTTGACTCCTCGTTTCTCTGTAATTTTATTACAGCCATCCTGTTTAACATGACGCTTGATGCAGATGGATATTCATCTAGAGTAACCTCCAGAGGGATGTTTAGAGAAAACGGTGAACGGTTCCTGCAGAAGAGCATGGTTGTGAACAAAAGCAAGAAGTGTTCTGAGTACCACATTAACATACAGGTGAGGTCTCAGGGTTTCTACCCCTCTTCTCTTAAAAGACTAATGAATACAGGAAGACTGAAATGGAAGTTGTAGGTCAGAAAACACTGGTCTTTCTCATGACTGCATTTCTCGTCTAACTCTGTGAACAAGAAGCACATTTCTTCCCTGATAATGCTTACGGTCACATTCCTACTTTAGATGTGTTAGTGATGTGACATGTTATTAGGAGTTGCAACTGAAGGGGCTAAAATACCATTAAAGAGACTAAAGACTGGGCCTAGAGGGATGGCTGAGCAGGAAGGGCACCTGTGGTGTAAGCATGAGGGCCTGGGTTCAGATCTCCAGCACCTAGGTTAAAGAGCCAAGTGTGGCTGTGTGTGTACCTGAAACCACAGAGCTGTGAGCATCAGAGACACCGTCTCCGGGACTTCTTGGCTGCAGCCTAAATTCAGGATTATCTAGAGCTCTGCCTCAAAGAGAAAATGTAGAATATGATGACAGAGAAAACCTGATTTTTCTCCTCTGGCCTCAACAGGTGTGTGCACATACAGCATACATATGCATGTCTGTAGGTGAGCATACACACACACACACGCGCGCGCACACACACACACACACACATTTAATAAAGAAAATAGATTAATAAAAAATACTTTTTTAAAAGATGAAAGAGTGTTTTCTTAAGTGACTAACAGGGCAAACTTACCGCTGACAACCTTATTTTGACATCTTTTCCATCAGGTAAAAGTTGTATTCATCTTTTGAGATTTTTTTTTTCCATGCTGTCTCATGGCCCATTTTTTTTCTTTTTTTTTAATTCTTTATTAATTACACTTTATTCACTTTGTATCCCCACTGTAGTTCCCTCCCTCCACCCATCCCAATCCCTCCCTTCTTCCACCCTCTGCACTCATGCCCCTCCCCAAGTCCACTGATAGGGAGGTCTTCTTTTCCTTCCTTCTGATCCTAATCAATTAGGTCTCATCAGGAGTGGCTGCATTGTCTTCTTCTGTGGCCTGGTAATGCTGCTCCCCACTCAGGGGGAGGTAATTAAAGAGCAGGCCAATCAGTTCCTGTCAGAGACAGTCCCTGTTCCTATTACTATAGAACCCACTTGGATACTGAACTGCCATGGGCTACATCTGTGCAGATGTCTTAAGTTATCTCCATGCATGATCCTTGGTTGGAGTATCAGAAGAAGAAATGCAAATGGCTCAGAAACACTTTAAAAACTGAAAACTTTTTTTTTAATTACCAGAGAAATATAAATTAGAACTATTTTAAGATACCCTCCCAATGTACTCAGAAGAGGCACCAGGAATATCAGTAAAAACAAATGCTGCCATGGATACAGCAAAACAGGAAGTTTCACACACTGATAATCAGGGCATATAGTATGTCACCACTTAAGAAAGTAGTTTGGACAGGAGCCTACCACAGACAGCCTCTGAAAGACTCTACCTAGCAGTGTATCAAAGCAGATGCTGAGACTCATAACCAAACCTTGGGCAGAGTGCAGGGAATCATATAAAAGAAGGGGTGTTAGTATGACCTGGAGAGGACAAGAGCTCCACAAGGACCAAATATATCAGGGCACAGGGGTCTTTTCTGAGACTGTTTCTCCAACCAAGGACCATGCATGGATATAACCTAGAACCCTTGTTCAGATGTAGTCCATGGCAGCTCAGTATCCAAGTGGATACCCTAGTAAGGGGAACAGGAATTATCTCTGACATGAACCCAGTGGCTGGCTCTTTGACCTTCCCCCCTCCACAAGGGGGGAGCAGCCTTGCCAGGCCACAGAGGACATTGCAGCTAGTCCTGAAGAACTCTGATAAGCTAGGGTCAGATGAAAGGGAGGAGGACCTCCCCTATCAGTGGACTGAGTGAGGGTCAGGGAGGAGATGAGGGGGGGAGGATGGGATTGGGAGGGAATGAGGGAGGGGGCTACAGCTGGGATACAAAGTTAATAAACTATAACTAATATAAAAATAAAAAAAATTTAAAAAGTTGTATTCATTTTAAGCTTCTGAAAAATGAAAAATCTCAATTTTGGTTTCTACCATTGCTTTCACACTAGGGCTGTAGTTCTCAACTTTCCTAATGCTTCGATCCTTTAATACAGTTCCTCATGTTGTGGGAACCCCCAGCCATGAAATTATTCTGTTGCTACTTCAGAACTGCACTTTTGCTACTATTGTGAATCATAATGTAACTATCTGCAGGACATCTGGTCTGTGAACCCCTAAAGGGGTCATGACCCACAGGTTGAGAACTGATGTGCTAGGTGACTAATGGTAGATTGGTAGTAAACACTGCGTGTTCTAACATCAGTTCATAATTGCTGGAGTTCACACAGTTTGGGAAATTTTTAATGTAGGAAAACTGCTTCTTGGGAGAAACTTTCCAGCCAGAAACTTAAGTTATATAGAACATCCCTTCCCCCTCAGCAACTGTGTAAAAATACCTGAGAGAAGAGGGCACCTAGAGCGGAATCCTGACCTGTGTGTGTGTGTGTGTGTGTGTGTGTGTGTGTTTGTGTGTGTATACATATGAGAAGAAACTCTGCCCCATTCTTTCCTGACATCTTCTATCAGGGGATCAAATTACCGATGGAATTACAGACTTCCAAGGAATGAAGAGAGAAGAGAGCAGGCAAGGCCACCCAAGGAATCTGTTGAAGATGAAAACTAGCCATGTCATCTAAACATTTATAGTTACTTGTGTGTAAACAATGAGATTATTTATCATCCCAGTAAGAATTGCTGCTTCAGATTTTTGTTGTAATAGAGTCTTTAGGTTTCTGAATTTCGAGGCTAACAACAGAATTGGTGCTGAAGAGAAAGTCTTCACCATTCACAACAAGATGATTCCCTGAAATTGAAGCTCCTCTTAATTATAAACACATTTGTGGATTTTGTTTTCAAGTTACTGTGCCTAAGTAGTCACTCAACCCCTCCTTCCTTCCTTTAGAAGCCCTCTGATGTTGTAAACCCTTTGGATCTCCGCGTGGACATCAGTTTGCAAAACCCTGGCACTAGCCCTGCACTTGAAGCCTATTCCGACCCTGTCCACGTCTTCAGTGTGAGTGTGGCTTGCCCTTCTCAAACGCAGTTTGGCTAACAGCTTCAGTAGTTGCTGTGGGTTACAGGCGTCACGGGTGCAGCCTGGATGCAGCGACGCACACAGTGCGCTGGCGTATCCGTTCCTCAAAGCAGAGCTTCCTCCTTCACGCCTTTGTCGCTGGCCCCAAACCTGGGGCCAAGCCACCATAGGTGATCAACAAACGCTTCTTGAAGAAATACGTAAGAAGAAAGCCTGCCAGATTGCTTGTGCTCGCAACCCACTTAAAAAATTCAGACGGCTGTGAAACTGCCTGTCACTCTCCATCATGTCTGCTTTAATTTAGCTTCCCTAATTTAATTTACCTTGAATTTTGTATTTTTCAATAATTTTTATGATTATGCTCACCCTGTACAAGCTCTGAAAACTCTGTTTGGCTTCCCATAGTTTTGACCTTTGTGTAAATGGGATAAGGCTGTGTAAACTCTTTCACACTTTGTTCTTAACCTAAGAGCACCAAGAGGATGATGGTTGTTTTTTTTTCCATTTGTTGTAGGTCCCCTTCTATAAAGAGTGTGGCAGCGATGGGATCTGCATTTCTGACCTGATCCTGGATGTCCAGCAGCTGCCAGCCATTCAGTATGTTTGACTTTACAGCTCTGTGTAAAATGCAGACATAAAAGGCACATTATATCCCCCCGTTCAACATAAAAGTTTGGATTTTTTTTCTAAAGAAGAAGTACTCAGAACATAGTTAAGACATTTTTTTTAAAACTGAATTTCAACCTCTGCCATTCACCTAAGAGTAAAGCAACGAGAAATACAAAGCTGCTGGATTTGTGGAGTTCTCTTCCCTGCCATGCCATTAGAGGCTACAAAGAATGCGATCCAGCAGCTTTTGCTTACTTGCCAGCATCATTTTCCTGTGAAGAAAGTCTTGCATTATTAAGTAATCTTCAAGTAAATGCAAAGAATATCTTGAATCAACGAACATTCTGAATAGTGGGGTAGTTTTAACTTCAACGGCTTTATCTTTCTTTCCTTGCTTTAACAGAAATCAACCTTTTATTGTCAGCAACCAAAACAAAAGGTTAACGTTTGCAGTCACACTGAAAAACACAGGGGAGAGTGCATACAACGCTGCAGTCCAGGCCGAGTTCTCCGAGAACTTGTTTTTTGCTTCTTTCTCCACGCCGGTATGTGAGAACAACCCCCCCCCACACACACACACACCTACGCTCCCATATACATCATCTCTGCTACCCCACACCCCCTCAACTCCCCAAACCCCCACAACCTTCCCCTCCATCCTCCCTGACAATCACCATCTCTGACTCTGTGTCCTCCAAATTGTCTAAAAAAAAAAAAAAAAACAGTTGACCTGGAGCATGGTCTGTCCTACCCTGTGGCTTCCAGTTAGTTAAGCCTCCTGAGAACACAGCCTGGCTCCAAATCCAGGGCGGCTCTGCTTCCAGTGAGGGTCACTTTTTCCTTTACCCCAGGCCTTGGCGGTGGCGGCTCATAACTTTTGCAGCCATCTGTGTGAGGAGGCCGCCTGTCCTTGTGCTAGACAGATGGAGTGCACTTGCTCAGTGGCATTCCGAGTCCCGCCGCGTCACTCTCAGGTTTGCAGATGCCGCTGCCGCTGCCGCTGCCAGGAAGATACATTCCTGCAAACCCACTCTATCCAGCTGACCTGATCGCCGAGCCAGCCCTAATTCCTGTGCTCCAAGGCATGAAGAGAAAGAGAAAAAAAAAAAAAAAAAAAAAGTAGGAAAAGCTATTTTCCAAGTCGACTGCTTGATTAAAGGATATAAAAAATATTTTCTTCCTATTGCCAGTAAAGGTGAACATTATAGATTTAGAATTCCAAACTTCTACTGACCTCATGTTTAAATGGCCTGTGCCACATGGAACCTTGTACGTTAAAGACAAAATGAACTGAGGAAAATTGGCAAAGTCTGTTAGATACTTAAAAGACAAATGCTGCTGGGAAATGGTGGCACACACCTTTAATCCCCAGCACCCAGGGTCAGAGCCAGGTGGATCTCTGAGTTACAGCACAGCCTAGTCTACAAAGTGAGTTCTAGGACAGCCAGGGCTACATAAAGAAACCCTGTCTCAAATGAAAGAAAGAAAGAAAGAAAGAAAGAAAGAAAGAAAGAAAGAAAGAAAGAAAGAAAGAAAGAAAGAAGCCAACATGCATTTTTCTTCTTTTGAAAATATACATTTCAAAAATATTAAAGAGAATATATTACTAAAGATAATACTTCTGAATATTATAATTAAAATATTTGTGCTTCTGGAATAGAAAAGTTGATTTCCATCTTAGTGCATATTTCACCAAACCTTTGGCTTCTTGAGTGTATCTTTAGACTTGACAATAAAAACAGCGTGCTAACCACTTGGATACTCAAGATATTCAATCTTATTCAAGTCTTTGAGAGCAAAATATATATACATAAATAGAAGCCATTATCACTGCTAAGGTTTCCTCTTGAAACTTTCAGTGTGGGTACACACACACAAACACTTCATTGTTGTTTCTTTGGTCCTGTTCAGGTCGACGGAACAGAAGTAACGTGCCAGGTTGGTTCATCGCAGAAATCTGTTTCCTGTGATGTGGGATACCCAGCCTTAAAGAGTGAACAGCAGGTACAGTCAAAGGCACTCCTCCTAGCACTGTCTTTCCCGGGCGTCATCCTTTAAACAGACATCACAAAATAGCCACCCACACACGGAGATGGGTTACCCCACCGAGGCTACTTCCTTTAAGTTGTTAGCACAAGTGGAGTTTCCTCCACGTACCTTGCAATATGGAATGTTCTTTTGTGTGACCAGGTTGACCAACACTGGTCAAAGTGCTGTAAGTAAATTTCAGATCAGCACAAAGCTTGACAGTTCTAACAAATGTAGCTAGAGAGGGTATGTACCCAACAGACGTTAAGCTCAGGTTCTCCGGTAAGCCAGCTAACGCAAGGTGAACAGACTCGGTCTACAAACTTAAAATTTTAAGACATAAAATTCAGAATTACACAAGAATGGGTTCACCTTGCAAGAGGACATTTTTTTCCTGGTACATACTGACTGTTGGATTTTAATATTGTGTGTAGGTGACTTTTACCATTAACTTCGACTTTAATCTTCAAAACCTCCAGAACCAGGCATCCATCAATTTCCAAGCCTTCAGGTAAGATGCAATGAAATCATAAACCGATGATTAGTAGCTTTTTATGAGATTTCTCTTTAAGTAATGTCTAATATTTGTTTTCAAAGTGAGAGCCAAGAAACAAACAAAGCAGACAATTCAGTCAGTCTCAAGATCCCTCTCCTGTATGATGCTGAACTTCACTTAACCAGGTAAGAAGAGCCTGCTCCATGGATGGGTGGCATCTAAGTACTGACAGCATTGCACCCTGGTACATAAATCATGTAGCTCACTACTGTCGCTCACCTGTTCAGTTTTAGCTCATGGGCCAACTAGATTAGATATATCCAGAAAACTCAATGCCTGGGAACACTTTGACCTTTTAGGTTTATTGACTCAGAACAGCACTGGAATGGCAGAGGAAAAATATGTTAGTCACAAGTCATAGATTAACTCCCCTGAAAGGAGTGAGGTGCTTGTGATCTATTTTTTAAAAAAAATCAGGCTGGAGAGATGGCTCAGAGGTTAAGAACACTGGCTGTTCTTCCAAAGGTCCTAAGTTCAATTCCCAGCAACCACATCGTGGCTCACAACCATCTATAGTGAGATCTGGTGCCCTCTTCTGGTGTGCAGGCACACATGCAGGCAGAATGCTGTATAAATAAAAAATAGATAGGTAGATAGATAACTATTTTTTAAAAATCTATCCTAAGACAACGAAGTATACCCTGGGGGCCTTGAGAGCTGCCAGCACTTCTCACTGCCCCTTCACATTATACATATTGGATGCCAAGCAACATACCTGCTCTTGGACAAGGAAGTCCCCAGCATCCTGTCCTGGATATCAGAGGGGAACATAAAATGGAGTCACGGGCTGAATACACTGATATGGAAACTAGACTAAGTCTAGCTCCTTAATGGAAAACCCCAGAAATGACTGGTGACGGTTTCCTTCCAACCAGGAGGAAATGAGGGATTTTCCAAAGGAGATCATCCATGAAGAAAGACTTTATTCCTTTTTCTTGCCTCCCAAATGCAGGTCACCCAGAGGACAGTGGTTAAAATGTTACTAGCAGACAACAATTAGCTTGAATTCTTCCAAGGAGCAGATGTCTTGGGAAGTGGGTCACATACAGATCCTACAGGTGGCTACAGGCAGATTCTACCTCTCACTCTCAGAACTGAGGCCAATTCCCTGTATAAAGGCCCTTGACAACACCGTGGAACATACAGCTCATGCAATAAATCACAAAACAAAAATGAAAATCTTCCTGTTTGAAGCTTGAGACACATGAGCAAAGATAAAAAAAAAAAAAGAATATGTCTGTATCCAGTGAGTCAGAAAGCCAAGTAGAAACAAAACCTAGCCCACATATCAGGTTCTGAGAAGTGTATCGGTAGCTACAGTTTACAAAACTATCTCTTCGCTAAAACATGTAATTAATGACAAGCTACCATAATGTGTATTGCCACATCATTTGAGCTTTTTCCTTCCAATGTATGCCATTCTGTATTCTTAAACATATTTGGTGAAAGTCAATGCTTTTACAAGTATGTTAACATGGAATAAATTGAGGATTAAAATAGGACTTTACTCCTACTGACATCTACGTATTTTTGTGAGTGTAAGCTTTGTTCTAACGCATTCTAGTATTAGAGTCTATAGTATGTACTTAAAATGTTAAGCTATATAGTCAAACTTTTTATCGAGGAGAATTTTAAAGTAATGATTTATGATCCTACACCCAGACAGTTTCCCACAAACTTTTTTTAAAAGCATTACCTCTATGTATTTGGAAGATACAAACATTACAATAAAACACAAAATGAAAAGTGAGATTAGCATTCTCTACCATCTGGGTAACAATTCCCACAAATTACTAACAAGATGTTTTAAAATATCTTCTGCACAAGCAGTTCATTTATCTACAAGGTTGTTTACATATACACACACACATGCTCAAACGTTTTACATGCTCACAGTGAATGCTAACACATCCTTTCTATCATTAAGTGGTTTTCATCTCAGGATATAGATATCTAATTTATTCTATTTCTGGATGAATCATTATTCATGTGAGCACTCTAGTATTAACTGATATTTGGTTGTTTCACATTTTTGTTAGTGTAACTACCAAAATCAATACAGCAAAAAAAGCTTTACTATTTTGTAAACATTTGAGGAAAGTGCTATCTAATCATCTTGTTCCTTAGCAATACTGTAATACTGTATAAATGTACAGCTATATTCTATGTATATAATAATATAGAATTATTTTAACAGGTATTTAGATCACTGCTAGTGCAACCCTAAAGCAATCTAGGGAAAACTTATGCAAAATGTGGAAAAGTGTCAGATCTCCTTAAAATACAAAAAGCAGACCATATCAATCAATTCAGGAGCTGGCTCTGTTTAGGGCCTTACATAAACATCTGGAAAGCAAAGACAATAACTCATGCACACATAGCTGGGTTTTCTGTTTTAAATCCTCGTCAGTTTTCCCATTTTCCATACAAGTCTAGCACATCACTGTTTCCTCTCATGCACATAAAGCCTTGACAAATACCACTTATTTTCAACTCTCCGTGTGATAGATTTTCCTTTTGAAATTTTGAAGAATTTTCTTAAAAGAAGAAAGATGAGGGCAGACAGAGAGAGATAGAAGGAGGCAAAAAAAGAGATAGGTTTGATTTCCAAAGTGGTTGTACATGTTTGCATTCCCACCAGCATTCTCCACAACCTCTCCAGCATGTGTTGTCACTTGAGTTTTTGATCTTAGCTATTCTGATGGGTGTAAGGTGAAATCTCAGGGTCGTTTTGATTTCCATTTCCCTAATGACTAATGACGTTGAACATTTCTTTAAGTGTTTCTCTGCCATTCGATATTCCTCTTTTGAAAGTTCTCTGTTTAGCTCCATACACCATTTTTTAATTGGATTACTTGATTTGTTGCTTTTTAACTTCTTGAGTTCTTTATATATACTGGATATTAGCCTTCTGTCAGATGTAGGGTTTCCCAGTCTGTAGGCTGTCATTTTGTTTTGATGACAGTGTCTTTTGCTTTACAGAAGCTTTTCAGTTTTATAAGGTCCCATTTATCGATTGTTGATCTGAGAGCCTGTGCTGTTGGTGTTCTGTTCAGGAAGTAGTCTCTTGTGCCGATGAGTTCTAGGGTCTTCCCCACTTTTTTTTCTCTGGTGCTTTCTCAGACAATTAGGAATAGTGATTCCTCAAGATCCAGCTATACCACTCCTAGGCATATATCCAAAAGATGCTCAAGTACACAACAAGGACATTTGCTCAATCATGTTTGTAGCATGATTCATAATAGCCAGAACCTGTAAACAACCCAGATGTCCCTCAGTTGAGGAATGGATAGAGAAATTGTGGTACTTTTACACAATGGGATACTACCCAGCTATAAAAAACGAGGAAATCATGAAATTTGCAGGCAAATGGTGGGACCTAGAAACGATCATCCTAGTGAGGTATCCCAAAAGCAGAAAGACACACATGGTATATACTCACTTATATAAACCTATAAGATATGATAAACATACTGAAATCTATACACCTAAAGAAGATAAACAAGGAAGAGGTCCCAGGGTAAGATGATCAATCCTCACTTAGAAAGACAAACAGGATGGGCATTGGATGTAGGAGAAAACAAGTAACAGGACAGGAGCCTACCACAGAGGGCCTCTGAAAGACTCTACCTAGCAGTGTATCAAAGCAGATATTAAGATTCATAACCAAACCTTTGGCAGAATGCAGGGAATCATATGAGAGAAGGGGGAATTAGTAAGACCTGGAATGGACAGGAGCTCCACAGGACCAAATATATCAAGGCACAGGGTTCTTTTATGAGAACTGTTTCTCCAACCAAGGACCATGTATGGATATAACCTAGAACAGTGCTACCTAATCATCATGTTCTTTTATGAGACTGTTTCTCCAACCAAGGACCATGTATGGATATAACCTAGAACTCCCGCTCAGATATAGCCCATGGTAGCTCAGTATCCAAGTGGGTTCTCTAGTAAGGGGAACAGGGACTATTTCTGACATGAACTCAATGGCTGGCTCTCTGACACCCCCTCCCCCGAGGGAGGAGGAGCTTTGCTAGGCCACAGAAGAGGACATTGCAGCCAGTCCTGAAGAGACCTGATAAGCTAGGGTCAAGATGGAAGGGGAGAAGGTCCTCCCCTATCAGTGGACTTGGAAAGGAGCAAGGAGGAGATGAGGAAGGGATGGTGGGATTGGAAGGGAATGAGGGAGGGGGCTACAGCTGGGATACAAAGTAAATAACCTGTGATTAATATAAAAAAATTATTATAAAAAATTATTATGAGACAGAGACAGAAGTGCCCAAAAGATAGAAAGCATTTTTGTCTCAGAAAATGTTTAGTCCATTCTTTTAGGAGATGAACTGAACATCCTATAGTTTAGACAAAGTATCTCCTGGGAACATACAGAGGGGAATGCATAAAGCTTTTCAGAATCCTGCTCCAGCTATCAGCTCCTCAGCACTACCCACAGTGCAACAGTCCATGGGGAATCCTGTGGCCTGGGCATCACTATGTTTGCAGATATTAATCAGGGATCCTAAATTGTGTGGTCAAGATCTCAATAAAATCTTTGGATTTTAGGAGTAGTTCGCAGTGATAGAAACAAATGTGATCAACCTTCAACTCACTGCCAACTGTTAGAGTTGGTCAGAACTACAGAAGATTAATAAAATAAATCCACACCCTGTTTGAAAGGCATTTAGTCATGAACACTGTAGGAGCTAGTAGTGGGTACCCATCATTGTGCTACAGCCACAGCAAGCGAAAATTCTTGGCTTAGCGGGTCACTCACTCCAACCATCATAGCTGGAGTGTGTCTACCTTTTGAACACACTTGCCAATGTAACAGCAGGCTGGAGAATAACGCAACTGTTTTATTTAGTGTTTAGTACTCTTAACTTTCAGTATTAACTTTCAGTATTAACTTTCGTATTATGGTAATAATTTGCTGCTGAAAATAAATAGTATCGGACTAATATCTTTATTATTAGCCTCATAATTACTGTGGCAGTATTTTCTAACCCGCTAACACAATCAAATAAAAACACAGACCCCTGTTAGATTTTATAATTGCCTTATTTACCTTGAGCTGTGCAGATGCTGTACCTAGGTTATCTCATATCTTCCAGTCGCCATCCCACGCCATCCGCCTTAGCCATTCCTATCTGGCGCACCTCCCATCCATAAATCCTTGCTTATTTTTCATCCGGGTCGCTCTCTCCTTCTATGCCATTCTCAGAATCCTTCCTTCCGGACCACATGATTCTCTCTCCACCTCACCCATGCCGGCTTCCTCCTTCCTCCTCTCTTCCTATCTTCCTCCTTCCCAAGATCCTCTCTCTTCCAAGCCCGTGAACCTTAGCTCTGCCCGCCTTACCTTTGTTCCACCCAGGTCAACTTTTTATCAGTCAAACAGGTTTAATTTCTTAAGCAGGGTTTACAGGAAGACAGTAAGACGTGAAAATCATCCAGGCAGGGGCCAGATCTCGGGGGCCAATAATTAGCATTAAAATATGTAGCACTAGAGCAACCGCAAACAATAATTAATAATTCCATATTAACATATACGCTGCATACATTCCACTAGTGTTGGAGGTAGGGAGCATTGCCATTTCTATCCCCCCCAGACACCAGCCAAGCAGAAACACAGACACTCATATTTTCTCGTGTGGAATGTTAAAAAGTTGATGTGAAAGTAGAATAATCATTTGGTATAAGCAAAACTGAGCTGTTTTGATAATAATCCAAGGTAGAAGATACGTAAGTAAAATAAATAAGATGCTTCAAGAAAAAACTCAAAAACAATAATAATTGGCTTTTACTGATGTCACCCAACAGATCCACCAACATAAATTTTTATGAAATCTCTTTGGATAAGAATGCTCCTTCTGTCATAAACAGTATTGAAGACATTGGGCCTAAATTCATCTTCTCCCTCAAGGTTGGTAAGCTTGTCTCCAGGATGACAACCGGGAAGAGGGGGAGAGAAATAAAGGGATCTAGGATGAGAAGAAAGTCAAACACAGCTGCAGTGATGGACCGGTGGTCGCTCTTGAGTGTGCAGCCGTAGCTGTGCATAATGAGTAATGGAGAAATAATATACTTTTCAAAGCCAACAAGGCATCACCACAATGGCATTATTGTGGGTGAGCATCCATTTCACTGTTTTACGCTTGGAGACCAGTCCTGTTTGAAAAAGCTCACCAACACGGTACAAATAGGGCTTTTATACAGTCATGCTAAGTAGTTCCTAAAATGTTTCAAATCAATTCAATACAGCATGACTGTATCTTTAAGTAAGTAACTATTAATCTAAAGATTGGGATCAATTACCTAAGGAAATTCACAGAAAGACACCTGTAATCGCAGAATTTAGGAAGCTGAGGCGAGATTGCTGTAAGTTTAAAGCCAGTCTGAGCTACAGAGTATGACTAAGCAAGAGAGGGAGATTAAAATATGAAATAATAGGTAAATCAGAAAAGAATGTTGTAAAAACTTTGGAAAGTAAATAGCAACTCGCTTGCCTCCTGGAGTCAACACTATTCTGTCTGTGCATTTCTACTCAACAACGAACAGCTTCAGCTCTGCAGTTTAGATTCATGTCTTTAATGACAAAAAGAATCCTGATTGGTTATGTAGATTTGATATTTCAGAAAGTGAGGAAGGTAAGCGCATTGCTTTATAGGATTTTCAATCAATTCATAGTAAAAGAAAATAACACTATTAAGAGTAGGTATCAGACAGGCAGTGGTGGTACAGGTGAGTCTGTGAGTTCGAGGCCAGCTGGTCTACAGAATGAGTTCCAGGACAGCCAGGTCTACACAGAGAAACCCTGTCTCGAAAACCCATTTAAAAAAAAAAAAAAGAGTTTCAGTATCAGCCATTGTAACAAGTGTTTTCCACACTACCAATTTAATTCCCACCAGTGGGAACAGACAGAATGGGGGTACATGGCCAGTGAAAAGCTGATTTTTAGTGAGGTTCAGTTCCTTGCCCTTTAGGCCAAACTTGCTACTCTTCCTTCCCCCTCACCATAGCATCCCTCATGGTTTTTATGGCAGCATTTGCGTCACGTGTTATTCTCTACATAGGTAACAACGGGAAATGCTCCCGTAAGCATGGCATTGGTGACCATTCACATTCCTCAGTACACCAAGGCGAAGAACCCACTCTTGTACCTGACCGGGATAGAAGCAGACCAGGTAAGGATAATACATCTGGCCACACAGACAGAAATGGCCCAAGACTTAAGGGTGATTGTGTATGTACCTGAAAGGTTGAAAACAAGAGTGCTCATAACGCATCCTGGATCCCAAAAAACTGGCATCAAACTTCTTATGGCCTAAGAAAATCATCATCCTGGTTTAGGTAGTTAAAGGTGGCTGAAGTTATTCTACAGTCTCTGTCTTGGGTAAGGGAAATTTGACTCAGTCAGATCCCTGCTACGAGAGAAAACCAAGAGGTGAGAGGTTCAGTCTACCGTGAGCCCAAGGTAGGTCTGGAGAGCTGCAATTAGAAGCTGGTCTTCAAGCAGCTGGCTAGGACTTCCAGCCAGTAGTTACTCATTTCAATCACCCTAATTACTTTCTAAATCGAGACAGCAAGACAATGAAGTCAGAATCTAGATAAGGCCAGAACATTGGTATTTTTCTTTGAGAGCCGTTACAGGACTTTTTCCATGTAGCCTAGGCCAAGAGATAAGTGCCTTGTCATAGTCGAACTTCTTAACACTCTTTAACACCTCTTCACACTCCTTTAACCGACCACCTGGCTAGTCTGACAGACTTAGAGGAATTAAAGTACTGAACTGTTCCAGAGAAAAGAACACTAAATTGAATCACTCATGGTTTTTTATTTTATTTTTATTTATTTATTTACTTACTTATTTATTACAAATTTATCTCATGTCATACTGGCAAAATATTAGTTCATTTTGCATTGCTACAATAAAATGCCTAAGGTTAGGTTAACTAATCCCCAGTTCTTGAGATTCTGTGATATGATAGCAGCAGCATTTCAGCTCTGGTGATGGTCTCATGGGAGTTGGTACAAGAGAGAGAGGAGAAAAGGGAAAGAAAACTGCCAAGTAGGAAACTGGAGAGGGCCTAGAATTCTACACTCCCTTTTTTAGGACATCCTTCCAATTAATTAACCTGTAGATGTTCTACTGCGACCCAACTCTTAAAGTACGATGCTCTCTCCATACTGCTACTTTGGAGACAACTCCTCCTCCGCCTTCTCCACCTCTCTCCTTCCTTTCCTTCCTTTTCCTCTTCTTCCTCTTTCTTTTCCTCTTCTTCCTTTTTATTCCTCTCACATATTATATCCCTACTGCAGTCTCTCCCCCATATCCCCACTCCCATAGATCCATGTCCCCGGCCCCCACCGCCTCCCCTCAGGAAAGATCAGGTCTCCCAGGAACATCAACCAAACATGGCATATTACACCAAATAAGACCAGGCACATACCATCTCATCAAGGCTGGACAAGACAACCAAGTAGGAGGAAAAGGGTGCCACAAGCAGGCAAAAGACTCAGGGACAGCCGCAGCTCCCACAAAACACCAAGCTACTCAGTCATAACACATATGCAGGGACCTACGTCAGACCCCTTCAGGCTCCCTCATCTTTGTGAGCCTCCAAAAGTCCCAGCCAGTTGATTCTGTGGGCCATGTTCTTGGGTCCTTGATATCTCTGGTTTCTCTGATCCTTTCTCCCCCTCCTCAGCAGGATTTCTAATGTTTGGTTGTGGTACTCTGCATCTGTTGCCATCAGTTGCTGGATGAAGTCTCTCTAGTCTCTTTGATGAGGATTCTGTTAGGCTCTGGAGAGACCAACTCTTCCAATGTGTGAACTATGAAGAACAAACCATATTGAAATCGTGACAAGCTGTGAGAAGCTGGCCTGTCTCATCAGGTCACATCAGCTCACTACAGTGAGCTGTACTGGAGAACAAATGATTTGGCCACTGAGCTGCTGAGAAAGGAGCCCCTCCCATACCCCACATGACAGCAGGATTTCCTGGCAGGCTGAAAGGAATGACACATATCATTTTGCTTTCCAAGTCTGATGTGGTGTTCTTCTCTGTAGGCTGGTGACATCAGCTGCGCAGCAGAAATAAATCCACTAAAGCTAGGACACGCGCCCTTTCCTGTATCTTTCAAGAGTGAGAACTTCCAGCATACGAAAGAAATGGTGAGAGGTCAATGTTACACTGAACTTGCCTTCAGCGATCTGGTGTTTTTTGCATCTAGAATCGGGGTTCTTGTTTTATCCCAACAGCCAACAACCTAAAGCAAGGGTTCTCAATCTGTGGGTTGCGACTCATTTGGGGATCCAATGACCCTTTCACAGGGGTCTCCTAAGACCATCAGAAATATCAGATATTTACATTAGGATTCATAACAGGAGCAAAATTACAGCTATGAAGTAGCAACAAAAATAATTCCATGGCTGAGGATCACCACAGCAGGAGGAACTTTACTAAAGGGTCACAGCGTTAGGAAGGTTGAGAACCACTGCCCCAGTGTGTTTTCCTTTTGCCTTCGATGGTGAGTGTGTATTAGGATACAGCAAACATGTCTTCAAGCTTAGGTCGCCAGTTCACAGAATCAAGCTGAGGACATGTGTGATGTGACATGGAAGTGAAATGGAAGCTCCTGGAAGTGCAGGGTGCAGACGGGTCAGGGAATGGTGAGTAGAGTAGGGGGAATCAACAGAGCAATGCTCCCTCTGCTAACCTAAAAAGGAACTCCATGTGCTGACTGTCCCTGTTCCCCATGCACCCTGCTCTCTGGGAAAGAGGTTAGCTTAGCAGCTGGCACAGTCAGCGCAGACTCAGTCACTGGGTAAGTAGACAATAACTCTAAATGGTACTCAAGTTCTCCTGGGTTGACTCTAAATGGTACTCAAGTTCTCCTGAGTTGCTTTCTTTATTTGTAACTGTTTTATTTTGTGATGGGTGGAATAACTAGGAAAAAAAAGATGACATAAAACTTTTTTTTCTGTATATGTTAATACGTAGGTATATATGTATGTTGTTACATGTTATTGTTTTTATTTTATGGCCTTATATAAGCCAAGGTCATAGACTGGTTTTGGTATTTCAGGGTTTGTTGTTGTTGTTGGATGTTGGATGTGTGTTGTGGTTAATTTAAGGGTAGGTCTAATGATGTTTATTATTAACCTATAGTTATTACGGCTGTATTATCTAATCTGCTATCACAATCAATGAAGACACACACACCTGATAAATTTTAGACTGGCCTATTTTACCTGGGACATGGCAGATATTACTTCCTAAGCTACCTTTACTTCTCAAGCCCCCACTCCATCTGCTCTAATAATTTCTATTTGGGCTGCCTCCCATCCATAATCCCAAAACACTTGTTAATGTTATTCATCTGGACTGTTTTCTTCTGTCCATGAAGATCTGGCCATATGCTTCTCTCCAGGCCAACCCATCAAGACCTCTCCTTCTTTCTCTTCTGGTACCTCTCTCCTTCTCCTTCCCATGATCCTCCTCTTCCCCAAGCCTACAAACCTTAGCCACACCCACCTTTCTGCCCAGATGTGGCAGCATTTTATTATTAACTAACTGGGAATAATTTCTTAGGCAAGGTTTACACAACAAGGACAGGTATATGTGAGAATGTGCTTGCGTGGGCAGCAACCAGATATTAGGGCCAGTAATTACCATAAGAATGTATACCACCAGACCAACCCCCAACATGTGTGTGTTTGTGTACAATGTGTGTTGGGGAAGCATGGTGAGCAGCGTATGTGTATGCACAATGTTTATGTCTGTATTATGGTATAGTCTGTGCTCCTGTGTGTGGTATAGAGTATGCGTGCATATGTGTGTGTGTGTCTGTCTGTGTGTGTGTAGTTGTATGGTATATTCATAGGAGTATGAGGAAATGTTGTCATATGAATGATACATAGGCTGGGGCACTTCTTTATTGCTCTCCATCTACTACCTTGAGACAGGATCTCTCACTGCAGTAGAGGTCATCATTTTGACTAGGCTAGATTTCCGGAGAACTCCCAGGATCCACCTGTTCCTGCACAGTCTCCCCAACACTGGAGTGACAGGCACACACAGCCAGGTCAAGCTTTATATGTCGCTGCTGAGGACTTGAACTCTGGTCCCAACGCTTGCAAGTGCTTTTATCCACTGCAACATATTTCTGGTCCCCATCAACTCTTCCTAAACAGGCTTTTTTTTTTTTTTAAGCAATACATAACAAAATTCTGTGAAATGTAAAATAGTTCCCCATATACCTCGCCATCAAAACCACATGACAGACTGGTACATTTGTCACAAGTGACAGACCTACACTAACATATCATTGCCTAAAGCCATAGTTTACATTGACGCTTGTGGTGGAACTTTCAAATATTCACCCTATGGACTTCGAACACGTATAATGGCCTGTGCCGTACATTCTGGCAGCCTGTATAGAGGTTTCCCAACCCTAAAAGTCCACTGTGCAATGTGTACTTCCTCTCTCCCAACCACTGATAACCACTGATTCTTTTGCTCACATATTTTAACCTAAGAAAGTCATTATTATCATTAAGTTTAATGATTAAATTATA